AACGCTGATTGGACGTTCGTTTGATCAACTGCTCCAAGTAGCCAGACTGATCTGCGAGTGAAACCTTGAAAGCTCGCCACATCAGGACGGTCTCACGAGGCTAGTGTGGATCATGTGTGTGAGTTGATGGCAAAACGGGTCTATCAGGCAAAAAAAAAACTGATTGATTTTTCTCATCCGCTTCAGGAAAGTGGGATCGCGATAAAGACTATGTTCAGCTCTCTGAATCATAGACAGAAGAAAAAATCTGACTTCTCTGGTAGGAGGGGGCCACATAACCTGGCTTCAGTTGAAGACCAGTGACCAGAGTCTGATCCTGCAGTGTTACAATACTTATAACATGCTGTTTCATTCCCACTCATGATGATGGGAAGTCCACTACAGGTAAACCTGGTTGATCTTCATATTACAGCCTAAAGAGTAAAAGGGGCTGATGTTTTATTTTTGGGCCTCGTGTATGTTTTTTTGTCATTGAATCATGTTCTTGTCTATTCATTTTCGTTCATCACTGATGACGTGTTCAAGTATCATCGTAAGGTGTATCATGGTTCTATCACTCCTGGCGCAGCCAGTGACCTTCAGGAAAATCTACAGTATATGACCTCCATGAATAGAGGTGATGCTGTAGAGACAGCCGACAGCCTGGAGAGACGGCAAAAGTGGTAGGAAGGGTTAGCTCCCCGACCTACAGCTCCCATGAGGGATCACCCAAACCTTGCTACAAAGAACCCTACAGAAAAATACCCCCAAGGATGCCCGAGAAGGGGGGAGAATGAGCATCCCAACCGGACGAATTTACTGGTAACGACCTAAGCAAATTGACAACAGATTATGAATTTAGTCTGGATATGTGGCAAGGTCTGCAAAAACCTGCGAGGTCTGAAGCTGAGACTAAGATAACCTGTCTTGGGAAGGAAGAAGTGAAGCGATGCTCTGGAACGACAACTGACACAACAGTCCTTGTTGCGCCAACTGTAGAACCTGGTCAGAAGGAGGAGGAGCTGAGTCTAGAGTCCCCCCACAATACCCAGATCCTCCTAGCAACACAAGTTCCTCCACCGAGCAGGAAATCGGAGCATCGTCGGGTAAAGTGGCATATCGCTAACAGCAAGGAGTGGACCAAGCTGGATGAGGATGTAGACAAGAGCCTGGAAGCCATCTCAAAGGACAACGCCGAACGGAAACTCCACACTATGTGCTCCCTCATCATGAACATAGGTGTCGAGCATTTTGGAGTGGAACTGAAGCAAGGAGCAAGTAACCCAGCAAAGCTCAACTAACGGGGAGTCAAGATAGGCCAGCTGGGACAAAAACTGAAATCCTTGAGACGCCAGTTCAAGGCAGCTAAGGAAGAGGAGAGACCTGCTCTGTCAGAACTCACTAACATCATAAGGAAGAAATTTATCACATTGAGAAGGGCCAAGCAACACAGAAGAAAAGGCAAGGAAAGGGCCAGAAAGCGAAGTGCAACTCCTTCGCCTTCACCAAGTGGCTACTTTGCTTGACCTGTAGAAGAGATTAACCAGAATCTTAACACCACATAAGACGGTGATAGTCACATGATCAATCACAGCAAAGGATTGTGGGAGATTATCTTAAGCTAAGCACTAAGGTTGATTTTTCACGGTGTCACATGAGTAGGGAGGTATATAGAATCAAATATTAATAAACATTGGTTATTGACTCTATAATATGACTATTGCATCCCTTAAATAAAGATATGTTAGTTAAAGGCATAAAACTCCCCTGGGGAAAATGCCATGCAGACGATAAATTGAGTATGACAATAATTTCAGGGTTCCTACAGCATAAGGCAAGTTAAATTCAAGACTTTTTAAGACTCTTTAATGCCACTTGAAATAAAAATTTAAGCCCAAATTCACAAGAAAAACCAGCTTGCGACAACTTAACCCAAAGGTTTATTTTAACATAAACCACTGCACTAATGTTTCAAATTTTGAAAAGCTTCCCATACAGGAAGAAAGCTAAAAACACACAAATGACAGATATATTTTAACAATTGTTTAACTGAATTCACAAACTTTGTTTTAGCAGCGAACAAAACAAATCAGTTTTAAAGCCACAACATAACCAGTGCTAACCCTGGACCACAACTGGATTTTATTGGTTCATCAAAGAGTAGAAATCACTCTAAGGGATTGTTTAAGGATAAACCTCTTTGAGGTTAAACTGTTTAGTTTTACCCATCACATTAAAAAGGCTACATCAGGTTAGTACTCGCTCAATGAGCCACTCTCATTATTTACAGTGTAAACCTCCCAATGTTAGAAAAAAAAAAACACCAGCCAGAACGGGACACAAATCATTGTCTTCTGGAGTCCAGTTCCAGATGTTTTAATAAGAGTTTTATCCCATCCTGAAAATGACCAACATTTTCCCTACATGATCAGCCTTTAAAAACAGAACCTAAACCCACTGTATTATACAGGATTAAAAAAAAAAAAAACAGCTGTGAGACATAAATTCAGCATAAACACAGCAGTTAATGACCATAGCTCCATCTGGAGCACAGGATCAGCATTTGCTGATAAAACAAACAGCTGCGAGATGAGAGATAAGAGACCCATGGTTCCAAATTGATAAATCTTCTTTTTATTGACATTTTCCAGGTCATTTCTTTCTCTTTATTATTAGATGCAGTTCATAAAGATATTAATTGCTCGTTGGTCTCTGTGAGGCTAACTCCAGTCTTGGTTGAAAGTGGTTCTTTCCTCTGGTCCTGCAGAGTTGGTGCAGAGATGGATCTGCTTTTCTTTTCAGAACTTGGAAGAAGTGGGTCTTATGGCTATGAACTCGACTCCTTCAGCTGAATGGATTTCATATTGTTACCGTATGTTTACTGTGGCTTTATAGAATCCAAAGCAAACTGCAGTGTTCAGCATTAAGGGAATAAAGCATCTCTGCTTGTACAGCTTATTAGATCCGGTTTGCTTTTCCATTTCACAGTTGGGGCTTCGTTAGACAAATATCAAGAACAGCAAATGTTTTGGAGAGAATTGTGGAATTCTCATCTGACCTCAGACCTTTCCTTTCATTCTGTTGAAGCACCAGTAGGTCCGGCATGCTAACCCTAGTACTCCACCAAACAGATTTAGTCTTTATACCGCCATCTCATCTGTCTGTGAAGCTGGACACTGTTGTCTGGAATTTGTGATCCTTAGCTGATGCTTCTAGTGTCGGCCATGTCCTGGACTGGACAAGGCCGATTGATGTCTGGTACTTGGAGGAGGTTGGTATCAGAACTGAAGAAGTGTTCGTGGATTAACCCAGTACCAAAGGTTCATTCATGTTGTATTCATTTTTTCCCTGTTTATCAGCAGCACTTTAAGAATAAGCTGAACTGCAGCTTAGTAAGAAGAGTCATCGGGTGAAAATGCTCTCATCTGATGCTGCAGCCTTCAGCGGGTGCTCTGAAGTTCCTGATGAAGCCAGGTAGGCAGTGGTTGGCCCAGGCGATTCAGCAGTTGCACCAGCTCCATGTTGTGGTGACGGTAATACTCGCTTAAAAAGGCACGTGACTGGAAAAAAAAAAAAGCACAGAACATATCAGTAGAAACGAAGCATCAATAACAGCTCAATAGTCATCTTCACACTGGTTATTAAGGTAAACTCTGATTTTATTAATCATTTACATTTTCCAACAAAGCCTACAACACCAATCTAAAAGTTTTATTTCCTAAAGGCTTCACTGCGTTTCTGGGTATACACCTGGTTTCTGAGTATAAATCAGCCTTAACTACGCTAGGTTCAGGTTTTTTTTTTGCTGTGATAT